TTAAGCATTGTTGCACCTCACGGGGTACCTACTTTCCCCGCCGCACATTCCGAACTGTCCCGCAAGAGCCCCCGGAGCCAACCTTCGAGCTGCAGGAATCGCCGCCAATGGTTTCGTCCGTACAGAGTGACTCTGTTCCTGTTGAGCAGCTTGAGCTTGAGCATTCAGTTAACCAGGATGCAGCGCCGCAACGAGGTGCCGCTCCAAGTTCACCGTTGACCCGAGTCGCGTTCGTGCCACCGGGCACCGGACCGACCACTGTTTTGTCGCCTCTGGTGTGAGGTACATCTACCGCTCTTCCATCGCTGCTTTCCGACATGGCTCAGCCCTCCAGCCATGGTCAAGGTGCCTCGGCCTTCGCCGTGTGCACGTGGTCTAGCCCAGTTGCGCTAGATGCGGGTAGGTTAAGTTTTAGATTATAGTTTTGCGCTAGATACCGTGATAGCGTTTCGCGTGTGTTTTGTTCATGTACTCTCTCAATGTAGTTACCCTCGCGTTAGATTAAGTTTCCTGGCGTCTGTTTTATGCAACACTCGATGTATTCTACTATATATTATCCTAGCGTTAGATTAAGTTTACTGGTGTCTGTTTTATGCTAATCCTGTGCCCTTCAGGCTCCGGTTTCGACGCAATTTTCGCGTAAATTGCTTTGTTTATAAGGGGGGGAGGTATTGTAGCGTCTGACCCGGCACTCACCCCAACTTTTTCAACCATCGCTCGCCTCACTGACCGTGCTCACGCTGCCGTGCCGCCGCGCCGCTGCCCAGCCGTGGCGCCGCGCCGCCGCCCTAAAGCCGGTTCGTCACGGTGTCACGCATGTCCATCTTGTGAGGATTTAGCGGCGCGCGCTATTCAACTATCTCGTCCGCCCTGTACTTAACAAAGCTTTAGATCTACCGTTTACATACCTGTCCATCATAGTTTAATACCGGGTGAGTCACGTGCAGTGCACCTCCCACCTCCGACGCGGTAGGGACCAATCGCGACTGTGCAACGACGGGCGAGATCCGCCTCTTGCATAAGTGGTGACGTTGCGTTTATGTTAAGCGGCTACGGTATTGCATCAGCAATGTACGCACAAAGAAGTCACAAGGCCAGCAACGTGACTGACTTGTATAAGCTTATGTAAAGTGACTACGGTATTGCATCAGCATTGTGCGCACAAAGGAGTCACGAGGCTAGCCACGTGACCCGCGCGTATAAAAGCTGACTGTCGCGAGGTAGGTTAGTTCAGTTCGGACCGAGGCACTGTACCATCAAGACCTCTGTCCTAGGGCGGCGCAAGATCCACCGGGTCGTCATGTTAGCGTGTCCCCTGCTTGGCTGAATAGAAGAAACAACTGACATCTGAGTTTTCTTCGGAGCCGAGTCTGCTTCACCAACACCAAGAAGCACGAGGGGCGCCACGTTACAGCCGAAGTATTCCGAATGACGACTCGTAACAAACATGCGATAATTGTAGTCACTTAAGCTTCAGAGCATCACTGACAGGTGGCATCCATGTCTTACGGTTTTCGAAATATCTCGAATTTCGGCTTTGCCCCAACTCCGGCATTGCCCCAACTTCCCCTATACTCTTGCAAACGAATATGACCTGTATGTACTGAACCTGTATGACCTGTATGTACTGAACTGTATTAATCAACTGATGCATGTATAAGCGTAGTGCATGCATTGTGCACTATGTTCAATTACTGTCCAACAGTGAGGCTCGAACCTGGCTTTGTCAGTGTCGTCTGTGTCAGGGTTTGACACCACAGTGTCAGCCGCCTCCCGACCCGGCAGCAGCTCCGTCCGACTGCAGTCAGCTGACACAGCTCTGTCTGACAGGGCCGGAGGTGACGAAGCCGAGGTGGCCGGGATGGTACGGGAATGGTCTGTCGGTATCTCTCCAGGGGGTGGCTGCCGACACCATCAGTCACCTGGCTACGGAGCTGGGGTCACGGATTACCCTACTAGTCACGGATGGTGAGCATCGGTTGAAGTTACTCATATATGAATGGCTAGGAAGGGATAAACCAACAGTAGCTGTTCCGGCGCTCAGCGTTCGCTGGCTGTGACGTCACGGCCACCCCGGCGGCCCGCGGCCCGGCTGACCTCCAGTGACCTTGAGACGCGCCGCCGGCCGCGTCAGCTGATTGTCAGCGGTGCGCGGCGACCCTAAACGCTGCCGGACTGGTCAGGTGCAGGTCACGCTGCCGGGCGCTCCTGAACGGGGCAGGGGGCGACACGGGGACACGAAGAACGGAGAAACAGGCCGGCGGCACCGTTCCTTGCTTGTGATTTTTGCTCTAGCCTCTAAGGTACTGTCTATTTTTTTTCTAGCAAATGTTTATAAATAACGTGGGGAAGCAGTTTATCCCCGACACTCTGAAGCCTAAATCAAACCAGGAATAACTGGATACAACACAGATTACATGTACTGTAGGTAATGCTGCCTCCCTCATCCTAAGGTAAGACGGAAGCCATAAGTCATGGTATTTGGTAAGCCGTAGAATGACAAGTCGTGTGGTGAATGGTGCTGGTCAATAATTTGGGCCTGCCATGGACGTAATATTTACGCTACAAAATTTATAACGATACAAAGTTGAAATAATTAGCTACACATAATAGCTGAACAAAATACTTAACCCGCGCCCCACTGGGGTCTGTGTATAACACGCCCTACTGGGGGGGGGGGCTATTCATAGCCCGAAACTACTAGCCCGATTCATTCCGAAACTACTGGGCCGATCGTCAAAATTCAAACGGCGTCTGATAGCCCCGGAAAAACTGTCGAGTGAAACCTAATTTCATTGACCTCGAGGTCACCGATGACGTCACAGGTCAGGTCAAAGTAAAAATTATTAGCACTTTGGCTTGTTCACATTTTGGGCTCTGGCCGCCGTCTTACATACAAGTCAGATCAGGCTCATTTTTTGTTTCCACACTCGTGAACAGATGCTCTAGATACCTTGAGGGTACCAAACTTGTACTTTGATTTTCAGGTCAGGGTCAGGTCATCACAGGTCACGAAAATATTATATCATGCGTCGGTCACGTGACACATGTTTTATGGTCCATTTAGGCCATAGATTTCGAATTTGATGTCGTGTGTGTCATTCAAGGTCATTTTGAGTCGAAATTAGCTTAGGTCAGATCACTTTCAGGTCAAAAAAGGTCAAATTTTGAAGTTGAAATTTTTCAACAAAAAAGGTGTCTATTGGATGCAGTTTGAGCTCAGAAACACGATGGTGCCATTTATATTGGTGTACGATGCCAAATACGTACTGAAAAATTGATTTAAAAAATTAATAATTGTAAATATTTTGCAATAATGCGTATAACTTGGCCATTTTTGAAGATATTTAGCTAAAACTTGCTAGAGTTAGTCATAATCATGCGTTCTGTCACATATATTCTGTTTTTTTTTTCTCGAAAAGTCAAAAACTTTTTGAAAAAAAAAATATAAAAATATAAATTTTGAATAAAATTATATAAAATTTTCGAAATTTTCAAAATTTTGAAAATCCTAGATAGCAGTTTGATAGCGCGGTCAATTCTGAGTCCTTTCATGCAAAGAAATTGGATCTAGCTTAAAAACTGAGCTCTTGGGAGCGATTGCCGTGGTTCAATGTTTTGCGTCGAAATCGGACGAACATGACGTCACTCTGACGTCATTTCCGGCCGACCTATGGTAGCTACGAAGTTCAAATTTTGACACAAGGTGTCAAATTGATGCAGCCTAAGGTACTGAAAGTTTGGCGTCGATTCGTCAAGCGGTTTGGAAGTTATTGCAGAAAAACGGGAGGGGGGGCTATAAATAGCCCCCCCCCCAGTGGGGCGCGGGTTAAGTGAAAAGGATTCAAAAGCTGTCAGATTGATCAATTGACATCATGAAAATATGTCTTATTTCGGAATATAATCTACTAATTTAATTGCGATTTTTATTTTATATGTCAAAGACCCATTATCATTTTATTTGTTGAATATTCTGTTATGGAAAGTCGCCGTAATTTATGAAATTCACATCGTTTTGATAAAGTAGGTACATATTCACTCAGACACGGAATTATCACAGCATTGTAGCCACAAACAGTTTTCACTTTGTGTTTTCTACACCTGTAGGTAAGTGTACTATAATTGAGCTAGACTAATGCCTGACATTGGTTCAATCACCTTTCCAGCACAAATGACTACTATTCCAAGTCAACTTTGTGGTGCCATCATCAGGGTGGACCCAAACACTGTGATCCTTCCGGCCGGAGTCAGTGACAGCGAGCTGACGGAGCTGCGGAGCTCACGGGAGACTGTGAAACGCCTGTCAGTCTCCGCCGCCGACCTCCCGCGACTGAGGGGGCAGCTGCCGGAGGGCCTCCAGCGCCTCAATATCAGAGGTGAGATACCACGGATCATACATGTAATGCCGGTATAATGGACAATGCATATAGATAAACAAATGGACAGGGAGACGGCAAATGGACGAACCGATCAAATTCAGCCAACATCTTACAGCCTTGTTTGAGTTATATGGTATTGTTACAGTGATGCAATGCATGCATTTGCATATAATGTGAGCATCAAGTGCATGCATGAAATATTATTGTAGCAATTATGGTAATTTGAAATGGTTTCATTGCAACCACTGCGAACCATATACCTATTTATGTAGTCTACCAACCTGATCCGTTACTATACCATGACTGGCTGCCCAGTGCCCAAGCCAATGTGCCTTGCAAAAATCGTAATACTTATGTTGCTCATATTTTCATATTTACGTATGTATGCTGTTGCTAAAAATATCGTTGTGCAGCCGCTCGGCTGTGTCAGTGCTGGCTGTGTCAGTGTCTGACACTCTGGTGTCAGTGGTGCAGCGGGGAGCTGGCGGCAGCTCTGTCCGACTGCAGTCAGCTGACACAGCTCTGTCCGACAGGGCCGGAGGTGACGGAGCCGAGGTGGCCGGAATGGCACGAGGATGATGATCTGTCAGTGTCGCTCCAGGGGGTGGCTGCCGACACCATCAGTCACCTGGCTGACCTGGGACGGACGGTCACAGTACGGGAGATATACGGTGAGCAGCGGCAGCACGGACAGGCCGCTGATATACGGGCTCAGCGAATGGCGGCCACCGAGTAACGGTGTGCCATTGTCGGACCTCATGGAGACATGTGCAATACATAGCTAATGTGCTTTGTGAAATAATGAAGCCAATTGAGCTCCAAAATGGAGGACTGTTCACTCAGTGACATATTCGTTCAGAGTTAGTTGATCATACTCATAACAATCGTGTTGCACTGTTCAATGAAGTTCAATGCATTTGCTGAACTGATTGCATATATCATATAATAGCACTGTTTTACCATTGTCTACTGTGTCCATAAAACCATGTGAATTAGGTATTAGGTGTTTTTTTTTTCGTTTTGTCATATATCGACATGTATTACAGCTAACTGATCCTGTCTGTATGTGTGTCTGTGTGTTTTCCAGATTGTACTGATCACACGGCCGGCAGCCTGGAGCCCCTCACCAGGTGCCCTGAGCTGCGATGCCTATCAGTCACCGCCACCGACCTTCCGCGACTGAGGGGGCAGCTGCCGGAGGGCCTCAGACTCCTCAATGTCAGAGGTGAGATAGCTCAGATCACACATGTAATGCCGGTATATGCAAATGAACAGGGGAGACGGCAAATGGACGAACTGGTCAGCCTCAACTAGCAAGTTTCATCGTTAATCGTGTATATTACTCGTCTCGTATTGTGGTGAGAGGGGGAAGGGGTTCAATGCACGCCCTTCGATAGTGTCCATGCTTGTGGCATATGCGTGGAATATTAGTGTAACGTACCGGGTGATTTAAAAGTTGAGGTACTAGCGATAGTTGCATTGTCACAAGCAGCAAATTTCCGAACAAACGTATTGAGTATTAGTGCGAATTCGGCATCCGGAAAATCAGGGATAATTTTCCGGGATCAACGGGATCATTCGGTGTTTTAGGCTGACACCGTGCACAACGCACATGCCAATGAGTAAAAGAGCCATTACTGAAGCAAAAGCAATATAAAAATATGACTTATTGCATCGATAGTCCTTGCAATACCAAATTATTACCGGTCATCCCGGATAATTATCCCTCATTTTCCGGATGTCGAACGCACGCCTGATCGACAACTGACACTGACTGACTATATAGATATCTCGCTGACGACGAGTCTGAGCAGACTGACGAGACTGACTGGCCGCGGCCCTGGCGCGGCGGTTAAACAGAGTATAGACTATAGGTGTCGCCACGATCGAAGGCGGCCAGCACGGGAATGTTGTTACGATTAGAGAGCAAGTATTTCAATGGGGAATGATTAACTATTAGATAGGTATAGTGCAACCAATGAGAGTAGCATAAGTAGTTTCATATACTACTGTATTACGCATATACTTATCGCATATACGTATTATGTTCATATTCACATTCTACATATGACTGCTGCTGCTAAAAAATTGTTGTGCGGCCGCTCGTCTGTTTCAATGCTGACTATGTGAGTGTCTGACACTCTGGTGTCAGTGGTGCAGCGGGGAGCTGGCGGCAGCTCTGTCCGACTGCAGTCCGCTGACACAGCTCTGTCCGACAGGGCCGGAGGTGACGGAGCCGAGGTGGCCGGAATGGGACGAGGATGATGGTCTGTCAGTGTCGCTCCAGGGGGTGGCTGCCGACACCATCAGTCACCTGGCTGACCTGGGACGGACGGTCACAGTACTGGAGATATACGGTGAGCAGCGGCAGCACGGACAGGCCGCTGATATACGAGCTCAGCGAATGGCGGCCACCGAGTAACGGTGTGCCGTTGTCGGACCTCATGGAGACAGGTGTGATACATAGCCAATGTGCTTTGCGAAATAATGAAGCCAATCGAGCTCCAAAATGGAGGACTGTTCACTCAGTGACATATTCGTTCAGAGTTAGTTGATCATACTCATAACAATTGTGTTACACTGTTCAATGAAGTTCAATGCATTTGCTTAACACGCGCAGTGGAAGGGTTGCGAGTACTACGCCCAGTGGAAGGGGGGGGCGGATGTCGCCCCCCCTAAGATCTCAGCTCCCACCGGAGCTAGAAAGACGAAATTTGGAGGGTAGGTGGGGGCCATGGGGAACTCTGTTGTGTGTGAATTTCATGACCCTAGGTCAATATCTTCAAGGTCAAATGAGGTCAAATGTGGTCAAATCTGCCATATTAGCGACTTTTTTGCGTTTACACGCCGATAACTCAAAAAGTTACCGGCCGATTTTCTTTTTTCTTTCACTATACGAAAGAACAAACATTTGTGAGTATGTATGATGAATTTCTAGATAATCCAACAATAAATATGGCAGTTGGAAGCCTGCTAAGGGTAAGATGTCGCCGGCTGAAGCGGGATCGGCCGACGCGGGAAACGCGGCAATCACAATTTTGTGTTTACACACTCATAACTCAAATTGTTACCGGCCGATTTTCAAAATTCTTTGACCATATGATTGCCTGTACATTTCTCAGTCTTCTCACCGAATTTGACGCGAATCTAATATAATCAGCGGTAAGGAGCGCGATGTAAAGACGGAACCGTCCCGCCCCGGCACAGTCTACAATTCAGGCGGCGCGTAACGGCTAGCGCCGGCCGCCGCGGCGGCAGGATGTTTGACTTTACACCGCTATTACTAGAAAAGTTGTGAACCGATTTTCTTATTTCTTGCACGAGAAGATCCGCAATTCAATTCTGGACAGGTAGCCAAAATTTCACATTAATATTATGTTTGCGGCGCGAGTTATTGGTGAAAAACAGGAGGGGTGGGCGAAATCCGCCCCCCCCCTTCCACTGCGCGTGTTAACATTGCATATATCATATAATAGCACTGTTTTACCATTGTCTACTGTGTCCATAAAACCATGTGAATTATTAGTCCCATAGCTCAGTTGGTAGAGCGCTGGACTCCCGGTAGTGAGAGCCCGGGTTCGAGTCGCTCCGGCGCTCGATATTTGAAACTCCTGACGGTGATGGTCTGTGGTTGGTGGGAGCAGCCGCAGCCAGTTGAAGTCAGTTGAGTGGGACAGGCCGTGTCCGGCTTTGAAGGGCACGCTAAACTTTGGCATCTAAATTCTCCCGTTACCCGAAATTGCGCGATCGGACGGTAGGGGATGGGTTCTACGCAACAAGCTCTGCTTAGCGTGGGCTCCGGCTCCGTCAATCCGTCCATTCAAACATTCGAGCTAAATTTATAAAAAAAATTAGGTGTTTTTTCGTTTTATCATATATCGACATGTATTACAGCTAACTGTTCCTGTCTGTATGTGTGTCTGTGTGTTTTCCAGATTGTACTGATCACACGGCCGGCAGCCTGGAGCCCCTCACCAGGTGCCCTGAGCTGCGATGCCTATCAGTCACCGCCGCCGACCTCCCGCGACTGAGGGGGCAGCTGCCGGAGGGCCTCAGACTCCTCAATGTCAGAGGTGATATACCTCAGATCACACATTTAATACCGGTATATGCAAATGAACAGGGGAGATGGCAAATGGACGAACTGATCAGCCTCAACTAGCAAGTTTCATCGTTAATCGTGTATATTACTCGTATTGTGGTGAGAGGGGGAAGGGGTTCAATGCATGCCTTCGATAGTGTTCATGCTTGTGGCATATGCGTGGAATATTAGTGTAACGTCACGGGGTGATTTAAAAGTTGAGGTGTACTAGCGATAGTTGCATTGTCACAAGCAGCAAATTTCCGAACAAAAGTAATTAGTCGGGATCGACAACTGACACTGACTGACAGGGGCGGATCCAAGGGGGGGGGGGTCACATGGGTCATGGCCCCCCCCCTTGAGGCCCGGGGGCCCAAAGACCTGCCAGGGGCACCACCGGCCTATCAGGGGTATCACAGTCCTGACAGGGGCACCACAGGACCGCCAGGGGCACCACAGGCCTAGCAGGGACACCACGGGCCTGGTGCCCCTGGGCCCTGACAGGACTGTAACGCCCCTGACAAGCCTGAAGTGTCCCCGGCAGGCACGTGGTGCCCCTGACAGGCCTGAGGCGCCCCTGCAAGGCCGGTGGTGCCCCTGGCAGGCCTGTGGTGTCCATGGCAGGCCTGTGGTGCCCTTGCTAGGCCTCTGGTGCCCCTGACAGGCTTGTAATGCCCCTGGAAGGACTGTGGTGCCCCTGGCAGGCCTCTGGTGCCCCTGACAGGCTTGCGGTGCCCTTGGAAGGACTGTGGTGTCCCTGGGCCCTGACAAGCCTGAGGTGCCCCTGACAGGCCTGTGGTGCCCTTGTTAGGCCTGTGGTGCCCCTGGCAGGCCTCTGGTGCCCCTGGCAGGTCTGTGGTGCCCCTGGCAGGTCTGTGGCGCCCCTGGCAGACCTGTGTTGACTGGTGCCCCTGCTAGGTCGCTGGTGCCCCTCACAGACCTGTGGTGCCCCTGGGTCTTGACAAGCCTGAGATGCCTGGCTATGACAGGCTCGTGGTGCCCCTGATAGAACAGTGGTGCCCTTGCTAGGCCTGTAGTGCCCCTGGCAGACCTCTGGTGCCCCTGCTACCCCTGCGCCCGGAGAGGACTATGGTGCCCCTGAAAAGCCTGAAGTGCCTCTCGACAGGCCCGTGGTGCCCCTGACAGGCCCAAGTTACCCCTGCGAGGTCGGTGGTGCTCCTGACAGGCCTCTGGTGCCCCTGGCAGGTCTGTGGTGCCCCCCTGGCAGGCCTGTGTTGACTGGTGCCCCTGCTAGGCCGCTGGTGCCCCTCACAGGCCTGCGGTGCCCCTGGAAGGACTGTGGTGCCCCTGCCCCTAGGGGTGCTCATGGGCCCAACAGGCCCGTTGTGCCCCTGACAGGCCTGTCGTGTATACTTGCTAGACCTGTGGTGCCCCTGCTTCCTGGCAGGCCTGTGGTGCCCCTGCTTCCTGGCGGGCCTGTGGCGCCCCTACAAGGCCGTAGGTGCCCCTGACAGGTTTGTGGTGTCCCTGGAAGGACTTTGGTGCCCCTGACAAGCCTGAAGTGTCAAGGACAGACCCTTTAGACGCCAGGGTCAAGTTCGTCGGGCTGACAACGATTCGCTTACCTGATAACGTTCCTGGTAAGTACTCACTACTCAGCGTCCACAACATATATACACATAAAACATTCATATATACTTGCTTACAATTGGTAAATGTGGTTGTGGGTAATAGTTAAGATACCTACTGACTAAAAATAAAAAAAAATAAAAAACTGAAAATGGGGGCACCACCAAAATTAAGTGGACGAAATCCGTTGAGTTTTTAATTTTGGGTATAGGTAGGGGCACCACTTCGATTCATGACCCTCCCCTTGGAGTTTTCCTGGATCCGCCCCTGCTGACTGACTATATAGAGAGCTCGCTGACGACAAGTCTGAGCAGACTGACGAGACTGACTGGCCGCGGCCCTGGCGCGGCGGTTATACAGAGTATAGGTAGCGCCACGATCGAAGGCGGCCAGCAGGGAATGCATGGGCATTGTTACAATTAGTGAGCACTTGCGCAGTTATTTCCAGTGAGGGATGATTATAGACATAGTGCAACCAATAAGAGCAGTATAAGTAGTTTCATAGACTACTGTATTATGCATATACTTATCGCATATACATATTATGTTCATATTCACATTCTACATATGACTGCTGCTGCTAACAAATTGCTGTGCGGGCGCTCGGCTGTGTCAGTGCTGGCTGTGTCAGTGTCTGACACTCTGGTGTCAGTGGTGCAGCGGGGAGCTGGCGGCAGCTCTGTCCGACTGCAGTCAGCTGACACAGCTGTGTCCGACAGGGCCGGAGGTGATGGAGCCGAGGTGGCCGGGAGAGTCCCCGTGGGGCGGTCTGTCAGTGTCGCTCCAGGGGGTGGCTGCCGACACCATCAGTCACCTGGCTAACCTGGGACGGACGGTCAACCGACTGGAGATATACGGTGAGCAGCGGCAGCACGGACAGGCCGTTGATATACGAGCTCAGCGAATGGCAGACACCGAGTAACGGTGTGCCGTTGTCGGATCTCATTGAGACAGGTGCGATACATAGCCAATGTGCCTTGTGAAATAATCGAAGCCAACTGAGCTCAAAAATGGAGGAAGACTGTACAATCAGTGACATATTCGTTCATAGTTAGTTGAACTACATATTTCGATTCTAATACAATGTGCAATGCACTTCAATGCATTGGCTGAACTGATTGCATATCCATAGATAACATGAACATTCATGCTATCATGTTCATTTATTCATGTTATCACATTCATTCATGTTTATATGGCATATCATATAGTACCACTGTTATACCATGGCTTACGGTGTCCATAAAACCGCATGCGAATTCATAGCTGTTTCGTTTTTTTTTTTCATATATCGCCATGTATTGCAGTCCGCTGATCCTGTCTGTATACGTGTCTGTGTGTTTTCCAGACTGTCCTGATCTCACGGCCGGCAGCCTGGAGCCCCTCACCAGGTGCCCTGTGCTGTACAGTCTCACCCTGTCCGGCGGCGTCCCTGACGCCGTGAGCCTGGAGCCCCTCACCAGGTGCCGTGGGCTGCGACACCTATCAGTCACCGCCGCCGACCTCCCGCTACTGAGGGGACAGCTGCCGGAGGGTCTCTGGTGCCTCAATGTCAGAGGTGAGATATAACGCAGGTCACACATGTAATGCTGGTACATGCAAATGGTCAGCGAAGACGGCATATGGACGAACCAATTAGCATCAACTAGCAAGTTTCATCGTTAATCGTGTATATTACTCGCATTGTGGTGAGAGGGGGAAGGGGTTCAATGCATGCCTTCGATAGTGTTCAACCTTGTGGCATATGCGTGGAATATTAGTGTAACGTCACGGGGTGATTTAAAAGTTGAGGTACTAGCGATAGTTGCATTGTCACAAGCAGCAAATTTCCGACCAAACGTATTGAGTATTAACCCTCGCCCTGGCAGGGGGGGGGGTCGATGCGACCCCCCCCCCTAAGGTTTTTCGAAGATAGCGTAAAAACGGCGGCGCGCAGCGCCGCCAAATTTGGCACAGCCTATGGGGCAACCTTTTTACATATGACCTGAAAATTTCAGGTCCGGGTGACCTTGGGTCAGGTCACTAGGTCAGAAAAACCGGTACAAGGTCATGGTCAAATTTCAATTTTCTTTTTGCACCTGTCCAACTCACAGTTTTCGACTGATTTCCTTCAAACTTTCAGGATGTGCTAAGTTCACCAAGTTGTATAACATATAGTCCGGTTTTTTTGAGGTCACTGACCTGAGGTCAGTTAGAGGTCATTACGTCGTAATGTTAAGCCTATGGGAAAATACTAAATTCGGAAAATACTGGAAATATCCGCTTCGTTTTATCACTTTTGTGCTTTAAAACCACGGTACTTAACAGCAGGTCACTTGGTGCTTCTTTGTTTGGTGTACTTATCCATGGGTCAGGTCAAATGAGGTCAACTGAGGTCAAATGACGTTTTTGCCAATAACTTGGCACATAATGACGCTACAGCTTCAAAAATGGTATCATTGTGTTCCTTGCGATCAGACGAATCAAATGATATGCGATATGATGCAATTTGGTTAACTTGAACTTAATTTATTAATTTAAGTTTACTTAAAATTTAAGAAAAACTTTAAGTACACTTAAGCAAGCTAAAAAGTATATCATTCGACGCGCCTTGACGTGCTGAGTTCACTGGTGCTTTTCTTTTTGCTCTATCTTAATTAGATAAAAAGTTATAAGCGAAAAACTTTTGACCTGTTTTTAGCGAAATTTTTACATTTATACCCCCCAAAACCCCCCTAAATATTGACCTAGAGCAACCAAATTTGCACAGGGGCGAGAACTCCGGGGGGCCCACCTACCTACCAAATTTGGTGTTTCTAGGTGCCATAGGAGCCAATCGCGAGGGGGGGGGGGTCGCATCGACCCCCCCCCTGCCAGGCCGTGTTATGAAAAATGCCCTGCCAGGGCGAGGGCTAATCGACAACTGACACACTGGTGGATCCAGGCTTGCGTTTTGGGGGGGGGGGCCAACTCATGCAGGAGTCAAACCTAGGGTACCCCCAAATCCTGTTTTCTCATCGGATTTAGGCCACTTATTTTTCGTCACAGCCCTGACACTATGAATTTTTTTTTAACTAAAAAGAAAAATATATAAATGGTAGCCCACCCGACCCATGCCTTTATATTACTTTGTAAACACTTACCATTGTTTTATCGACCAGTTAAAGGGACCCTCCCACCTTAACATTAGATTTGAGCTGAGATAGCCAAAATGGGGTCCCTGGCTCACAATTACCGGTTTCGGCACGCACTCACAACATCGAGAAATGCCTTAAATCGGAAATATTGAATTTCAAAATTGCAGCATTTTGATTCAGAGGGGCTAATGCTTTTGGATACCCCTCTGAATGTGTGACGTCAGCGGAGATCTAATGATTTTTTAATATTTTACTAAAACGTTTGGTAGCATGCGGTGGTATAGGCTGCTTTGCGCGCAACAAATGCCGCACTTTCAAATAAAGTCGCTAGGAACAGCAGCGGATATCCCAAAAAGTAAACAAAAATAAAAGTCTAATCTCTTGAAAACCGGTGAATATTTTTCGATAAAATTTGGTAGATATTCGTTTTCGCCCTTTCTGAACCTAGCGACATCACTTTCATGCCAATTCATTAACTTTTTTGAAGGTGGGAGGGTCTCTTTAACCCGCTTCGAGTCAGTGCTTGGGTCCCTTTGCGGGCCGGAGGTGGTAAAACAGCCCTGTCTAACTCGGCTCCTGGGCCACGCCCTGATTGAACTATGTTTCATTATCGTTTGGGGGAGGGGGAAAACGGGCCACTTTAGGCCTCTGGGAAGGGGGCATGGCCCTAAATGCCCCCTCCCTGGATCCGCCAGTGTAAGAAGAGACCATTGGAGCTGCAGTTGGGTACCTCAGACATCAGGGTACGCCCTCAGATGTATGTATAGGACTCGCATGGAGACCTCTTATGCTATAGTGTACTGAAAGGACCCAAAGGAGCCTGTCTATATGGGCTCCCGGAGATAGACGTGGGCCCTCAGGAGCCCGCCAGAGCCCCAATGAGGGATAAGTGAGGGATACCAAGTGCCTGCAATTGCATATTGCATAAGCCATAACGCCTTTACAAATCAATATATTATGCATCAGTGGCAGATCCAAGGGGGGCCACATGGGTCATGACCCCCTTGGTGCCCGGGGGCACCACAGGCCTGTCAGGGGCACCACCGGCCTAGTAGGGGCACCACCAGCCCGCCAGGGGCACCACAGACCTAGCAAGGGCACCACGGGCCTGTGAGGGGCCCCACAGGCTTGTCAGGGGCACCCCAGGTCTGTCAGGGGCACCAGAGACCTGCCAGGGGCGCCGCCGGCCTCGCAGGGGCACCATGGGCCTGCCAGGGACACCAGAGGCCTAGCAGGGGTACCACAGGCCTTACAGGGGCACCACCGGCCTTGCAGGGGCACCTTGGGCCTGTCAGGGGCACCACAGTCCTGTCAGGGCCTAGGGGCACCAGCGGCCTAGCAGGGGCACCACAGGCCTGCCAGGGGCACCACCGGTCTAGCAGGGGCACCATGGGCCTGTCAGGGGCCCCACCGACCTCGCAGGGGGCACCACCGGCCTCGCAGGCATCACGGCATCACGCAGGGGCACCTTGGGCCTGTCGGGGGCATCACGGGCCTGTTGGGGGCACTTTAGGCTTGTCAGGGGCACCACAGTCCTGTCAGGTCCCAGGGGCATCAGCAGCCTAGCAGGGGCACCCTAGGCCCGCCAGAGGTACAGCCCACCGCTAAAGTAATGTAGGGTTTTACCAAACTCAACGGTTGGCTTTGACTGGCGATTGTTTAATGCGAAGTGATTGAAAAGAAGATGTCAATAGCTAAAATTGCAGCTGCAAGGGTGACGATACATATAAGCTACATTCAAAGTTTCATTGTAGTCTGGCTAATCGTTCCTAAGCTTCAGAAGCAGAACATACCCATGACTGAAACCCCACATTACTTCTGCTGTGGACTGTACCACAGGCCTGCCAGCGTCCAGGGGCACCACAGGCCTAGCAAGGGCACCACGGGCCTGTCAGGGGCACCTCAGGCTCCCGTGCCCCCCCCCCCCTTCTCCCCCCCAGATCCGCCAGTGATGCCACACCACGCGAAACACCGCCAACTACCAGCTGCCGCGCCATAAACACGTGCCAACAACAGTCTTTTTTTTAAGGTCGACTCCGCTCGCGCAACTTTTGACTGACCCTCACTGCTACTATATTGCTTCCATATTATGCTGTGGAAAGCTTTACTTCACCAAGTGGCTAAAAACCTCCATCAAGGTATATTTTCTTAGCAATTTTTCTGGCGTTTTGGGGGGGGCCAAACAGGCCACTTTAGGCCTTTGGGGGGGGGGGGCCATGGCCCCCGTGGCCCCCCCCCCCCCTGGATCCGCCAGTGAACTGACACTGACTGACTATATAGAGAGAGCTCGCTGACGACGAGTCTGAGCAGACTGACGAGACTGACTGGCCGCGGCCCTGGCGCGGCGGTTATACAGAGTATAGGTGGCGCCACGATCGAGGGCGGCCAGCACGGGAATGCAGGCATTGCTGCAAAGTGCAATTAGTAACTAGTAAGCAGTTATTCCAATGAGGAATGATTATAGACATAGTGCAACCAATGAGAGTAGTATAAGTAGTTTCATAGACTATTGTGTTACTTACGCTATTGTATTACTTATTATTACGCATATACTTATCGCATATAATAGGTACAGTCCACAGCAGAAGTAATGTGCTGTTTCAGTCATGGGTATGTTCTGCTTCTGAAGCTTAGGATTGATTAACCTGACTACAATGAAACTTTGAATGTAGCTTATATGTATCGTCACCCTTGCAGCTGCAACTTCAGCTATTGACATCTTCTTTTCGATCACTCCGCATTAAACAATCGCCAGTCAAAGCCAACCGTTGAGATTGGTAAAACCCTACATTACTTTAGCGGTGGGCTGTACTTATTATGTTTTCACATTCCACATACCTAGGTACTTATGACTGCTGAGTGCTGGTGCCAAAAATTGCTGTGCGGCCGCTCGGCTGTGTCAGTGCTGGCTGTGTCAGTGTCTGACACTCTGGTGTCAGTGGTGCAGCGGAGAGCTGGCGGCAGCTCTGTCCGACTGCAGTCAGCTGACACAGCTGTGTCCGACAGGGCCGGAGGTGACCGAGCCGAGGTGGCCGAGACGGTCCCCGTGGGGCGGTCTGTCAGTGTCGCTTCAGGGGGTGGCTGCCGACACCATCAGTCACCTGGCTGACCTGGGACGGACGGTCACAGGACTGGAGATATACGGTGAGCAGCGGCAGCACGGACAGGCCGCTGATATACCAGCTCAGCGAATGGCGGACACCGAGTAACGGTGTGCCGGTGTCGCACCTCGTGGAGACAGGTGTGATACATAGCCAATGTGCTTTGCGATAAAATGAAGCTAAATGAGCTCCAAACAAAATAGAGGAGGACTGTTCACTCAGTGACATATTCGTTCAGAGTTAGTTGATCATACTCATAACAATTGTGTTGCACTGTTCAATGAAGTTCAATGCATTTGCTTAACATTGCATATCATATAATAGCACTGTTTTACCATTGTCTACTGTGTCCATGAAACCATGTGAATTATTAGGTGTTGTTTCGTTTTGTCATATATCGACATGTATTACAGCCAACTGATCCTGTCTGTATGTGTGTCTGCGTGTTTTCCAGATTGTACTGATCACACGACCGGCAGCCTGGAGCCCCTCACCAGGTGCCGTGGGCTGCAGGAGCTATCAGTCACCGCCGCCGACCTCCCGCGACTGAGGGGGCAGCTGCCGGAGGGCCTCAGACTCCTCAATGTCATAGGTGATATACCTCAGATCACACATGTAATGCCGGTATATGCAAATGAACAGGGGAGACGGCAAATGGACGAACTGATCAGCCTCAACTAGCAAGTTTCATCGTTAATCGTGTATATTACTCGTCTCGTATTGTGGTGAGAGGGGGAAGGGGTTCAATGCATCCCCTTCGATAGTGTCCATGCTTGTGGCATATGCGTGGAATATTAGTGTAACGTCACGGGGTGATTTAAAAGTTGAGGTACTAGCGATAGTTGCATTGTTACAAGCAGCAAATTTCCGAACAAACGTATTGAGTATTAGTGCGAATTCGGCATCCGGAAAATCAGGGATAATTTTCCGGGATCAACGGGATCATTCGGTGTTTTAGGCTGACACCGTGCACAACGCACATGCCAATGAGTAAAAGAGCCATTACTGAAGCAAAAGCAATATAAAAATATGACTTATTGCATCGATAGTCCTTGCAATACCAAATTATTACCGGTGATCCCGGATAATTATCCCTCATTTTCCGGATGTCGAACGCACGCCTGATCGACAACTGACACTGACTGACTACACAGAGAGCTCGCTGACGACGAGTCTGAGCAGACTGACGGGACTGACTGGCCGCGGCCCTGGCGCGGCGGTTATACAGAGTATAGGTGGCGCCACGATCGAAGGCGGCCAGCACGGGAATGCAGGCATTGCTACAATTAGTGAGCACGTATTCCAATGAGGAATGATTATAGACATAGTGCAACCAATGAGAGTAGTAGAAGTTGTTTCATAGGCTACTGTATTACGCATATACTTTTCGCATATACGTATTATGTTCATATTCACATTCTACATATGACTGCTGCTGCTAAAAAATTGTTGTGCGGCCGCTCGTCTGTTTCAATGCTGACTGTGTCAGTGTCTGACACTCTGGTGTCAGTGGTGCAGCAGGGAGCTGGCGGCAGCTCTGTCCGACTGCAGTCAGCTGACACAGCTCTGTCCGACAGGGCCGGAGGTGATGGAGCCGAGCTGGCCGGGACGGTACGGGAATGATGGTCTGTCAGTATCGCTCCAGGGGGTGGCTGCCGACACCATCAGTCACCTGGCTGACCTGGGACGGACGGTCAAACGACTGGAGATATACGGTGAGCAGCGGCAGCACGGACAGACCGCTGATATATGTACGAGATCAGCGAATGGCGGACACCGAGTAACGGTGTGCCGTTGTCGGACCTCATGGAGACAGGTGTGATACATAGCCAATGTGCTTTGTGAAATAATGAAGCAGACTGAGCTCAAAAATGGAGGAGGACTGTTCAATCAGTGGCATATTCGCTCATAGTTAGTTGAACATACATATTGCTATTGCAATGCAATGTTCAATGCACTTCAATGCATTGGCTGAACTGATCGCATATCCATAGATAGCATGAACATTCATGTTATCATGTTCATTCATTCATGTTATCACATTCATTAATCATTCATGTTTATATGGCATATCATACAGTACCACTGTTATACCATGGCTTACGGTGTCCATAAAAACATGCGAATTCATAGCTATTTCGTTTTTCCATATATCGACATGTATTCCAGTCGGCTGATCATGTCTGTATGTGTGTCTGTGTGTTTTCCAGACTCTCCTGATCTCACGACCGGCAGCCTGGAGCCCCTCACCAGGTGCCCTGAGCTGCGGCGTCTCACCCTGTCCGGCGGCGTCCCTGACACCGTGAGCCTGGAGCCCCTCACCAGGTGCCGTGAGCTGTGGGTTCTCACCCTGTCCGGCGGCGTCCCTGACGCCGTGCTGGACAGTCTCAGCGGCTGCCCCTGGCTGTGGGAGCTTAGACTGGGGGACCTCCAGCGGCCGGCAGAGACGGCCTTCACAGCAGCAGCGGTCACCAGGTCAGTCAGCAGACACTGGCGAGGGGTGTCCTGTCAGACACTGACACTTTGACACACTGACACTTCATACACTGACACACTGACACACTGACACACGGACACTGACACAGTGACACTGGCACAATGATAGTGACACACTGACACTGACACACTGACTCTGATACATTGACACAGTGACACACTGACACTGACACACTGACACACTGACACTGACACACTGACACTGACACACTGACACTGACACACTGACACTGACACACTAAACTGGCACACTAATACTGACACACTGACACTGACACACTGACACACTGACACTGACACACTGACACTGACACACTGACACTGAGACACTGACACTGACACACTGACAGTGACATACTGACAGTGACATACTGACACTGACACACTGACACACTGACACTGATGTGGCACATTAACACTGACACACTGACACTGACTCGCACGTCCGGCCGGCTGGTGCCGCTGTGTTTGTGTGTGACGGCTCTGCTGCTCTGCTCTGTTACAGACTGGTGAAGTCGTGTCGGCAGCTGCGTGAGCTGGGCCTTCACTGCACGGCAGACACCGGCCGGGCCGTGCTGACCGCCCTGAAGGAGGCGGACCTGGGCCGGTACAGTGATGGCCGGCCCCGTACCATCTGTCTCAGTGTCCCCGGTAGGTGAGAGGGCGCCGCGCGCCGCGCCTCTGACCAGTCAGTCCCTCACAACAGACGCTGCACGGCGCCACCGGCCTCTCAGACACACACACTCGACCACCGCCGCAGGCCACGTCACGGACGGTGACGTGACGCGTCAAGGCCACCACGGCCGACGGTGACGTCACGTCAGCCGTCTGTCCTGTGTGTGACGTCACTGTCCGGCGGTGTGTGGACATGGCTGTACCGCTGTCTGTGTGTCTGTCTGTGTGTGAGGTGTCCACCTCAGACGTGTCTCTGCTCTGTCCACAGAGGAGCTGTACGATCAGCTGAAGAGCCAGCAAGGCGATGGGGTCAGAGTGTGTCAGTGGAAGTATTGATGCGCTGCACTACCGACCGTGCAGTGATGAGCTGACTGCAGAGAGGCCGAGCCAGTCGGCCGGGGCCGCCAGCTGACTGCTGCCGTGTGTGCTGCACCAGCCGGCACTGAGAGCGGCGCCGGTCAGCCGGCACACGGCCCCCGTGTCCGCTCTAGTGTAGTGATTTAGTTGTAGTAGAAGTAGTGTAGATGTAGTAGAAGCACACGAGTGTGATGTAGTGGGTAACTACCCGGCGGGTATTGTGGGTAATTGATTGGACGGATATGATCTTGTTGGTAATTACCGGGCGGGTATTGTGGGTAATGGGACAGTGAAAAGTGATGTAGTGGGTAATTACCAGGCGGGTATTGTGGGTAATTGGACAGTGAAAAGTGATGTGCTGGAGAGACTACCAATCGTGACATTACGCTATTCTGCATGTAGAACACACGTCTCTGACCGTCCGACTCGGTTCACCGCGCCTGGTCCCGGCGGCACGGCCGGCCTCGGTCACGTGACCGTCCCCCGGTGGAGTAGGACGGCTCGGTCACGTGACCGCTCCCCCGGGTCTGGCTGTACCTCGGCTCGGCGGTGCTGAGCGCCGTGCTGAGCGTGTTGTGACACGTCCCACACGGACAGCTCTACTCGACTACTGGCTAGCTGCCGTCCGAGCTGGCAGTATACACGCGGTGCCAGTTCAGACGGCGGCCGGCCGCGCCGCGCCCGCCCGCTCCGGTCCCGGCCGGCGGCCGTCACCCGGCCCGGGGCGGGGACCGGTCCGTCAGCTGACCATTGGTCAGTCAGCTGATTGGTCAGTCAGCTGATTGGTCTGTCAGCTGATTGGTCAGTCAGCTGACCATTGGTCCGTCAGATTGGCCAGTCAGATGTCTACTATATACACGAGAGGAGACGCTTCAGCTGTACCATCTGTAGCCTGGGGCAATTAGCTACCGGGCGAGTATTGTGGGTAATTGGATGAAGTGATGCGATGTAGTGGGTAATTACCGGTCAGGTAATGTGGATGATGTAACCCTGGGTATGATATAGCCGGCTATCCAACGGTCGGATATAGTCAGCTGGATGCTACTGAATTGTGTAGAGCTCTGACGGCACCGGTCATAACGAGTGTCCTCGCGTCTGTCCGACTCGGTTCACGGAAGCACGCCGTCACGGCCCGGGTGTGCGCCGCCATGTTTTGTGTCCTCTGCTTCGTACAGGGGGGTAATTGGGCTACCGACCGATTGGGAGTCGGAGTCGGAGTCCGTGTCGATCAAGCTGCCTTGACTCCGACTCCGGAACGGCTTTTTAGATTTTAGTTATCACTTGGCCATGCTACTGGTTATCGGCTGCGCTTTGACTAATACATTTTACACATGTCCACTGTCCAGTCTTTGTCCTGGAAAACAGCTACCTTCGGAGTTTACCTCATCATTTGTGCTAATGTCCTGATGACCTGAGTACAGTTTGGCTCCACCAGAGGGTGTTTCTGCGCCGCTGTGCCGCCGCTGCTGTGACCTGCCGAGCTGCGGTCCCGGCTCCAGAGCACACCGTCGGCCGTCGAGGCCTGGTCCTTCTGTTCCGTGCACACCATCAACAGGTGTCGTATATATCTATAATACAGGCCCAGCGTGGGAGTTCACCGTTAACCGGCGGCCACACACTGACTGGCTGGATCGCCACTCGCCGTATTTCACCGCCTTCCCCGGTGCCGGGCGGACGATAACCTGTATACGACACACCGTTTTACCCGCCGTCATTTGGGATCAGGTCTGAGAGCCGCCTCTGGTAAATCAGCTGCCGTAGCGAGCCATTTGGCTGGATCCAGGATCCCATCGGATCCAAGATCAGGATAACTACGTGGGATCAGATCACACATATACCTTTTTCTGAGATTCCTGCACATTGCACATGTGTTTTGGCCACTCTGACTGGTGTCATGTAAGTAGTTTTCTGTTGCAGTTCTGTGTGTGTTGTATGGCCTGCACCCGTCCCCCTCACAACTGCAGTGTTCGGTGCTGGTCTGTGACCCACAGCTGACACCGGGCCTCCCACCGCCGGCGGATGAGCCGGCCGGCCCGTGCCCGGCCCGCCATTCCAGCCGCCACGGCCGGCCGGCGGCACTTGTCCAACACCGGCTGGACACACTACCGACTCGGAGACACACACGGCTCGGGAGACACCCGTGGCGTGTTCTGGGACCATACACGGACACTGCAGTGGCGACTGGGCAGAGGTGCGGACCGGACGTACCGCCCGCCCCTCCGACTGGGCAGAGGTGCGGACCGGACGTACCGCCCGCCCCTCCGACTGGACAGAGGTGCGGACCGGACGTACCGCCCGCCCCTCCGACTGGTCAGAGGTGCGGACCGGACGTACCGCCCGCCCCTCCGACTGGGCAGAGGTGCGGACCGGACGTACCGCCCGCCCCTCCGACTGGGCAGAGGTGCGGACCGGACGTACCGCCCGCCCCTCCGACTGGGCAGAGGTGCGGACCGGACGTACCGCCCGCCCCTCCGACTGGGCAGAGGAGCGGACCGGACGTACCGCCCGCCCCTCCGACTGGGCAGAGGTGCGGACCGGACGTACCGCCCGCCCCTCCGACTGGTCAGAGGTGCGGACCGGCTCGGACGCCCGGCCCGCCCCTCGGCGCGGCTGCCCGGCTCGCTGCTCGCTGCACGGTCCGGTCGGTCTGAGACTCTGTCGGAGCTCTACTGGTGACCGTCCGGCGCGCCGCCGCCGCCGCCACCGCCGCCGCCGGCCAGGTCACGGCCCAGGTGGGGCGCGGCGGGGCGGTGCGTCACCAGACGCGTGTCCACGGGCCGCCACTGGGTAGCTGGGGGGGCGGCGCGCCGCGGCACCTCAGCGCCGGCCCCGTGGGTCACTGAGCGGCGCCGACGGCCGCCACAAGAGCTGCCGGCTGGCTGTCGGCCGGCGGTAGCAGAGGGCAGCGGGAACAACCGTCGGCCCGGCGGGTCACCGACGGTCCCATCACCCACCGGGGACTGGTGGTGGGAGTCGCCCACCGGTCCCATCACCCACCGGGGACTGGTGGTGGGAGTCGTCCATCGGTCCCATCACCCACCGGGGAGTCGTGGTGGGAGTCGCCCACCGGCCTCTGAGGGCGGGACCAGTGGGACTGTCTCTGCCGACTGTCCCTACACCATGGGTGGGACCGGTGGGACTGTCTCTGTCGACTGTCCCTACCCCATGAGTGGGACCGGTGGGACTGTCTCTGCCGACTGTCCCCACCCCATGAGTGGGACCGGTGGGACTGTCTCTGCCGACTGTCCCTACCCCATGAGTGGGACCGGTGGGACTGTCTCTGCCGACTGTTCCTACCCCATGAGTGGGACCGGTGGGACGGTCTCTGCCGACTGTCCCTACCCCATGAGTGGGACCGGTGGGACTGTCTCTGCCGACTGTCCCTACCCCATGAGTGGGACCGGTGGGACTGTCTCTGCCGACTGTCCCTACCCCATGAGTGGGACCGGTGGGACTGTCTCTGCCGACTGTCCCTACCCCATGAGTGGGACCGGTGGGACTGTCTCTGCCGACTATCCCTACCCCAGGAGTGGGACCGGTGGGACTGTCTCTGCCGACTATCCCTACCCCAGGAGTGGGACCGGTGGGACTGTCTCTGCCGACTGTCCCTACCCCATGAGTGGGACCGGTGGGACTGTCTCTGCTGACTGCACCTACCCCATGAGTGGGACCGGTGGGACTGTCTGTGCCGACTGTCCCTACCCCAGGAGTGGGACCGGTGGGACTGTCTCTGACGACTGTCCCTACCCCATGAGTGGGAGTGGTGGGACTGTCTCTGCCGACTGTCCCTACCCCAGGAGTGGGACCGGTGGGACTGTCTCTGCCGACTGTCCCTACCCCATGAGTGGGACCGGCGGGACTGTCTCTGCCGGCTGTCCCTACCCCATGAGTGGGACCGGTGGGACTGTCCCTGCCGACTGTCCCTACCCCATGAGTGGGACCGGTGGGACTGTCTCTGCCGACTGTCCCTACCCCATGAGTGGGACCGGCGGGACTGTCTCTGCCGACTGTCCCTACCCCATGAGTGGGACCGGTAGGACTGTCTCTGCCGACTGTCCCTACCACATGAGTGGGACCGGTGGGACTGTCTCTGCCGACTGTCCCTACCCCATGAGTGGGACCGGTAGGACTGTCTCTGCCGACTGTCCCTACCCCATGAGTGGGACCGGTGGGACTGTCTCTGCCGACCGTCCCTACCCCATGAGTGGGACCGGTGGGACTGTCTCTGCCGACTGTCCCTACCCTATATGTGAGTGTCCGTTTCTGCGGCGGCCGCTGAGCCCCCAACCCTGTCCTTCTCCTCTCCCCAGTCCGCTGTGCAGGGTCGCTCGAGGTCACGTGGTCAACTGGGCTGTCTTCTCCAATGCACCTTGTATTCGTCGATCGACCTTACACACCACCGTGCAGTCTCATGACTACGACCCGACTCCCCTCCGTGCCGTCCGACGCGCCGGCATGGCCCCACAACTGGGACAAACGGCCGCCGGGGACGCTCCTATGTCCGATGTTCGTCTCCGTCCACACCGGAGAGGACAGGGCAGCCGGCGGCCGGCCGACGCTGCCCGCGGCGCCGAGGTGACAGCCTCAGACCTCGCTGCTCCCAGTACGCTACACTGGTCAGGTCGGGCCGGCGGCGGCGTGCCATCGGCCGCCGGCCAGCCGGCCTCCCCGTACTGACCACTCACTCCCATACAACACACACCCCTGTTTATCGAGAAACTTACAGAACATACGCTCTGAACTATGTAATCAGCAGTCAGGAACGAATAACGATGGTCTTCCATAACTCAACAGTCTCAAATGTCCCGCCCGCCCCCCTGATCATCCACCGGTGCCGTCCCAGTGGTCGGTCGGGGCTCGACCGGTGGTCGGTCGGCAGACAGACCGACCGGTCACCGCCAGGTCACGGCCGGCCCACTGACAAGCACGCCGTGCCGCCGCCGGGAACACGATTACTCTCAAATCCGACATTTTTGCGCCCCCATGCAACACGATGCGCTCAAATCCGACAGCGCTATGAATCGACTGTCGGGGCGAAATTGCACATGGAGATTGCGCTGTTTCTGGACATTTGATAAAAACGTGATTTTATCGAAAACCAATGCCAAAGTATACGTGAAAATGGCATAAAACGGGTAAATGAGGTAGGCCGATTCATTATGTATGACTTTGATTCGACAATTAAGTAAGCTTTCTGCAAAATGCGCTGTTTTGTAAATGACTGCTGAATTGCTCCACAACTCGACTTTTGGATGTAATTTTGCGCCAAGATCCGACCCTTTCGAATCAGTGCTTAGTGGTCGTGAAAAATTTCATTTGACTTGTATTTCTTTAAAAATGAACGTATAAAGGAATGTTAAAACAGAAATGTACAGTTTTTTGCGCTCTTTAATGTGATGTGCGTTTATAACCAATTGGTATTATGTAAAATCCATTATTTGCAAAAATAAATTTCCAGGAACGACTTGGCCTTCACGGTCAAGTGAGATCTATAGTAAGTACCTAGGCATTCATCACGAAATCATGACTTTTCAATTTCTTAAAAACTGATCCAAACAAAAATCGAAGTGTTGGAACTTGTTAATTGCAGTGCAAGGATCACGATTATGGTATTTTTATCTTTGGCCGTTCGATATTTTCGCCAATATCTTTGATTTTAAATATTTCACAAGTCAACGACGAGCGCAATATTCAATTTTTGCGCCAGGGCAGAACACCAGCATGTCAATTGCAGGCGCATTGCGCTATTTTTTGACGACTGGCTGGCGGATCTGGGCGCACTGGACATAATGCGCTTCAAATCAACTCCCGATGAAGGGAAAACTTCAATTTGGCAACACCAGCATGTCAATTCCAGGCGCATTGCGCTATTTTTTGACAACTGGCTTGCGGATTTGGGCGCACTGGACATAATGCCAGGGGCGGTCGCAGACTTGGCGTTTGGGGGGGGGGGGCAACTTGGAAAAGGGGCCCCTGCACTGACCTGGGGGACCCGGTGCTAGCTTAAAGGGGCCCACGGGCGTAGTGCATGGGGGCAGAAATCTAGCCATGGGCGGTGAAGGGGGGGGGGTAGGGACCGGCATCCGAGCGGAGGCCCATTGCCAGCTTTGAGGGTGTACCATGTCGAAAAGGTAAGTTCATTTTGAAGCATAGGTGTAATGTCAATAATTCACGCAACTGTGAATTGACTACCGGCTACCGCAAAAAGTAAAACCGGCTAACTTAACCATTTTCGAAGATATCGTGCTAAAACTTTTGACAGTGGGTCATCGGTATGTGTTCAATCACATGAGTTCCGTTTCTTATTTTTTACTTGAGCACAAATGTAAGTTA